TACAAAATTCATGACAATCAAATCGATTCTGAAGGGTTCTGGTGATGGTGTAATACAATCTGGATTGTAGGGATTTTGGACTTTGTCCATCGTCTGATGTTATAAAAAAACACAACGTTTTGAGGACAGATCCAGTCCTCGAAACGCTGTGTGTTTTATAACACTAGATGATGGACAAAGTCCAAAAACCCAACAACCCAGAAGACACAATGAGACAGAAAACGGTAATCCGGTGTACGTGACGTAATATGTTTTAGAACAGCTGACTGTGATACCGACCGCTGTTTGGCGGTTGCAGAACTTAGGGTGAGGCTATCGGAAAAGTAATCGAGGGTCATAAGAGTTTAATTTGCGGATATTTGAATTCAGGACGCTAATTGATGGGGCAGTTAAGGAACGGTTGGTAAAAATCTCGAACAGATTTACAACTTTGGAATCCATGACCGACAACGTAAACATCTACAGGGCTTGGGATAAAATCAGAGAATCACAACTATGGCCACAGAGCGCATAGGTCATTAGGAGTTAAAGCAACATAAGCCATAGTTTGAAGAGAACGTTCAAAATTATGAGACGAAAGGAAGATGTAAAAATTACAGTGGTTTCAGAACCCTAGACAAATGGACGGAGGAAAAACAATGAAACAAACGTAAAAAATTATACACCTACAAAGAAGAATAAATGAATTTAAGGAAACTATAAACCTTGAACTAGGTTATTAAAACATGAGGATGCTTACCTGTTGTAGATTCCCAGAATATTTTGAACAGGGGAAGAATTAAATCTGTCGGCTATTGGATGCACATGAGATAAACGATGATACATCAGACGCATTAGTACCTTAACCTAGCTCTTTTGAGGCGGAGACTTCTATTGAACAGCTTGTACAAATGTAAGTTACCAACTAGATAGTGATCAAATCAGGGAAAAAATTATCCCCGCAGGAGGTAGGAAGAAATGCGGAAATGCATTAATTCCATTTTGGAATAAGGAATAATTGCCCGAAAAATGCATGGGATATGGGAGATGGGATGTTTTACCTATGAGACAAGTAATTAACGAGAAAAGTTGCTGATTCCCAATGACATAAAAAGTTGCACTGAAAATTCTTCTCTCAGAAAAACGTCTACACATAACGAAATTATTCGCAATCATCAGTGTGGGACTTAGCAGAATCGATAAATATGACTCACTTATGATGGAAGTATCGTACAACATTCTTACAGAATTTGGCGTAACCACGAAAGTAGTTAGTCTAATTCAAAACGTGTTTAATAAAGTCCGTACAGGTAAACTTTTGTGTGACGTATTTCTTCTTCAGAATGATCTTAAAAGAGAGGATGCTTTATCACCACAATTTCATTTCAAATTTGCAAGGGAAGCCCCAAGATAACAAAGAACCGAGTCGGACACTTCAGCCTCTGGTCTAAATTAATGACTGGGTAAAAACACGTAAAGAGAACACAGACAAAACGACGTAATGTGTGTTCATGTCAACAAGATTTTGTTCATAGGCAGTAAAAATGGTTTCCCATTGGCATCGCGGTACAAACTTCGTCCATAACGAATCTCGGCTTCTGTCTCGCAGTTCACGAGAAGGAACATAAACCGAGCGAGACCCGGTAATGAGCGTCGATGGAGATTACGCAGGGCATGAGACGACACTGTATTCAGATGGCGCGTCTGTTTGCCATCGGCGGAAGACATCGGGCGCCTGCGTCGAAGAAACTTGAATGACATTTCAGGTTCTGACGACGGTGCGAGATATCTGTCTTCTGGGTTGTTGCGCTATGTAGTCTGGTAGATGTTTCCCGACGTTTCAGAGGTCATACTGCCTCCGTCATCAGGGTTAGGAAGATTTCTGTCTTCTGGGTTGTTGCGCTATGTAGTCTGGTAGATGTTTCCCGACGTTTCAGAGGTCATACTGCCTCCGTCATCAGGGTTAGGAAGATTTCTGTCTTCTGGGTTGTTGCGCTATGTAGTCTGGTAGATGTTTCCCGACGTTTCAGAGGTCATACTGCCTCCGTCATCAGGGTTAGGAAGATTTCTGTCTTCTGGGTTGTTGCGCTATGTAGTCTGGTAGATGTTTCCCGACGTTTCAGAGGTCATACTGCCTCCGTCATCAGGGTTAGGAAGATTTCTGTCTTCTGGGTTGTTGCGCTATGTAGTCTGGTAGATGTTTCCCGACGTTTCAGAGGTCATACTGCCTCCGTCATCAGGGTTAGGAAGATTTCTGTCTTCTGGGTTGTTGCGCTATGTAGTCTGGTAGATGTTTCCCGACGTTTCAGAGGTCATACTGCCCCCGTCATCAGGGCGATCATCGCTACCGGACTATACGGGGCAACAAATCAGAAGACAGTAATCTTCACGAACCTGAAGACTGGACAAATGTTAAAAGAATAAAAAGTTGGACGCCTTTAAAACTGTACTTAAATATGACTATCTGAGACAGACGGGAACAAAACCAAATTGCGTTCACGTGTAAATTAAAAGCAGACTAAATTAAGGGCGTACGTGCGACCATGAATTTCAGCGTCTCTTTATCTTCCCGTTTGCGTCATAAAAACCATATTTAAAATACAAGACCGTTTTGCTGTGCGTTGCTTCATGGGTATGAAACTTGGTGTTTCACGTTCAGGGAAGAAAAACATCGGAAGTTTTTTTAGAAGAAGACATGAGGCCGGAGAGAGACGCACCATAACTTCGTTCTCCTCAGCAAATAATAATTGAGGTTATGTTAGCATGGACAGGGCATAGAATAGGCGTCGAGGATAAGAGAAATATGTACAGATTTAGCTCGGAAAACCAGCCGGAGGACACCACTTGCGAGGCAATAATATGGAAACGGATATTAAAGATCAGGGTGTGGACTGGATTTAAATGGTCCAACGTATGGTCCGGTCGAGGGCTGCTGGGAGCAGGGTAATGAACCAGTGGGATAATTTCTGTTGTAGCGAGGATCAGCCATGACGGAGGACTCTGTTCTACGGAGTTTGTTCTTCAAAGAAGAGGACATTCCTGAGTGTACAATATAACCCAGTGGTGTCAACAACTGCAAATATTACGATCCGGTGAAATTGGCGGGGACAGGATTGCAGGTGGCGGGCTGCCAACAGCGGAGTGACCCGGCGCTGTATCGTCGCGGTCTTGCCAAGGTAACCGTTTGACGTCACACTCTCACAGACGAAACGAAGCCAAGAGCTAGGTCCAAGAAAGTCGCGCACATGCAGCCCTGCAATGAGGGCGCTGGGACCGCTCTGAGCCACGGGAAGCGCGCGGGGACTACACGGGATAAGCTGACAGTCGCTCAGCTAGCGCAGAATGTCTCCAGATTACCGGAAACCAAAGGATTTTTTTATCGTGTTCGCCACGGGTCCATATCCTGAGCTA